TATATATATCGTATGTAAATTACTTCAAAAATGTTTAATTTTGGTTCTTTTATGAAGTCGTTTAGCTTTTCTTCAGTGTTTAATTTATTTTGGTTCCATACTTGCAGCAATGTTGCTCTCTTGATCTAATTATCTAATTTAACTTGTCAAGAAAATACTATACAGTGCCTGAAAAACTGCGTCAACAAAGGCTAAAGTGTGAAAACATCAAAGGTCAACTCGTGAAATAAAAGACAACAGGTCTATGTGTTTTGTATTACTCTGAATAAAAGTGAAGCTAAACCATGGTAAAAATGTTTTAGGCCTGTAACATTTACATGTTTACCCACTTCAGTCATTTTCAATTATGAAATATTTCTCCTGAAATGACTGCAACATGTCGGAATGTGAAAGCCATCACGAGCACCACTACCATGGTTGATGGGGATTGTTTGGACACAAATGACAACCATAATGTTTATTTTTTTTACATCCGCTTTCCCGCACGCGCTGTTAAGCTGCATAGAGTCACGTTATCGCATTCAGTTTGTTTATGTTTACAAATTTGGGTTGTAAGACTCGCGGCTGATCGCGTTGGCAAAGTCAACCGAAAGACCCAGAGGCAGAGGAGCTTGTCCTTGTTTCACAGCCACCGACCGTGGGGCATCGGCTGGGCTCTTGGTTGCTATGCAAACGCCTGGAAGCAACACTCCTGTCGCATGGCGCTAACGTGGAGGTGACGGTTAACTTTGGGGGTAGCGATGCTAGTAACATTAGCCGCTGTCCAATTAAACAACCAAACATTATAACGTTACTACCACCACGTACTAAAATAAGCCAAAGACAGTAGGGCGCATAAAAATAACCTAAAATCCTCCTCGTTCACCTGTAAAGGATACAGCTAGCATAAGTTAGCACATAACGATAGTTGAATAAAAAAATAAAAAAACAAGTAACTAAAAATAGCAAGTTACCCTCCCCGTTTTTGTTGTCGTGGTGTGTAGTAGGTCAACGCTTCAACTTACCGTTTTCTTGTATCGAGGGCTGCGCTCGTACAGTTTAGCAGGTCCCTTCCCAGTTCGGTGTCATAGCAGGGAGCAGTGGGAGGGCAGCTGGGTTGAGGAGGAGAACCGCCAGAGGAGAAGTTGCTCGGTTTCAACATGGAGAGCTCGCGGGGTGGACTCCTACTGCTGCGGCGGTGACTCCTCGCGCTGCTGCCTGCTGCTACAGTGAGCTCTGGCGACACCTGGGGTCACAGCGGGGTACTGCACCCGCTGTAGTTACTGCACGGAGTGGAGTTCAAGTACCAACATTATTATTATTATTTAGCTAATACGTTTTATAATTCATTTATTGAAACAAATGGTCACCTACAGTATGTATACATCCACATTTACAATTAAGTAAATGTAATTAAGTCAGGCACCATTAAGTCCTGGGTTAAAAGATTTTTATTTTTATTTTTTTCAAAATGTAAAAGAAAATTCAAAGTTACATTTYGACATCCTTTAGGCTTTGGAGAGGCTCCTCCTCAGAGTAACTCAAGACTTTTGCACAGTGTATGTTCAAACTTTAACAAACATTTGAAATTAATATRTGCCAAATTGTGTCATGAATTCAAGATTTAGCTCTCTGTTAGCATTTAACAGTATTTTTATGAGATGACGAATTAACGCAGAGCAGGGCTTTTCGTTTTATGCCCCCTTATATTGATGTTTAAATTTTAAAATATAACAAAATAGGTTAAATCACTGGTTCTCAATTATTTTCAGTCATGCCCCCCTTTTTTTTGCACAACCCCCACTCTTATATTGAAATACTATTAAGAACCTGATAATACTGAATTATTTTTCTGTAGTGCAAACCACTATTTGGCTTTCTGGCACCAGCCTTCTGCATATAAACATGATAATGGTAGGGGAAGAACTGCATTTTGGGGAAAAAAAGTATTAACTTTTACATTTCAAGTTTATTTTGCTGCATTGAACCATTC